TCAAGCGAGATGATTCGACCAAGAGACATATTAGCAAGGTTTTTTGCCAATAGAGACCCGGCATTTGCTGCGGTATCAGCAAGGAAGATCAGTAGTTGTACAAAATCTGTGCAGCTTCCGAGGATGGCAATGAGGAGAGTAACATCCTGCAATACCAAAGGGTATACGCAGGGTTGTGCTACTTGTTAGTAGCGTCGAGAAAGGGAGAAAGCGCTTTAACCGATGCATCAACGTAGCCAAGGATATCTGGTCTGGTGCGACTAGTGGTTTTTGGGCTGATTCTAACTCGTTTACGCTTTTTTCGTTTCGTTTTTTTTTTAGAAAAAATGAAATAAATACTTGTTAGTACAGAGTACTTTATAAAATAAGAAAAATAGAACATCTATAAACTTTGTTAATCGTAAGTAAAAAAAAATGGTACTCCGTACAAAGGAATTTCCAATTGGTGAAGACTACGTTCCACAAACACGGATTGTATTTTGTTCTGGGCGACGCTTGTTACAGATGACCCGTGTATACTTTTTTTTTTCGTTTTTCACCTAGTTCGAAGCTTTTCTCTTTTTCCTTTTTCCCCCCATTTTTGAGGCTCTAAGCTCGTTAAAAGTACCATAATTACCTTTATGCTCTATTTGATACACGCAATTCAAACCATGAAATTGAAGACTTCAAATCAGATTTTGGTGCTTAATAGTAGGATAAATATGAAGATTTTTAATTGATAGTGTAAAAAATAAATTGGAATTGGAAAATTTAATTTCATTAAGTTCAATTTCATAAAATTTTAATTCCAATTCAATTCCAACTCCGTGTACCAAATGAAACCTTAAATTATCCTTTATCCAAATATATTTGTCCAGTTTTAGTTTTTCTAATCAAAATGGACAAATTTTAAACTTTAATTACTTTCAATTTGTATTGCATATTCGTACAATTAAATAAGATTGTGAAAGTTCTCTACTAGATAAAGCTAATAAAAAGAGTAATTCGATTTGAATGAATTTGCATCACAAATTTTTTAATTCATACGTGACCATGCAAATGATTTATCTTTACATAAGTCAAAATTGGTTTTTTAATTACCATTCTATTCGCCTTAATTTAAATCGTTTGTTTAAATTTACGATATCTAATTTAAATTCTTTTCAATACAAGATATTTCAAAATTGAAGTAATTAAAAAAATAAATTCACATATTAAAAGACTACGTCAAAAATTTTACATAGCAATAGGTGACATAATCATATTTTAATAAATGGGTAACGAGAATAAATAAATAATATAAAACAAGTTTGATCATATAAATTGAATAGTAAACATGTAACTAAATGAGAAATCGCTATTAATAGGACTAAAACATTATTCTATTCTCAAAAATAAGAGTTCATATTTTTTATTACCCAAATAGGCCTATTCACGTGCCTACTTCCATGGGGTATATTTCTGTCTGCCTTTATGCCCTTCCTGCATGTTTTCTCGATTCTTCTACATCTCACCCCACTCTTCCTTCTCTCTACGCGCCTCTCTCTTCCATCTCTCTTCCTTCAGTTTCTAGCATTTCAGATCTCCCTTTCGGCCCACACAAATCTTAAGTTGTTCAAACAATTGAAATTAGTTTAATGTATGTTTGGATTGAGGGAGGTAAAGTAATGTAATAAGTTGAAAAAATGTGTTTGAATAATTATTAAGTAATATAAGATAGGTAAAACAATAAAAGTATTTAAATATACTTGTGCCTGTTTTGTAGTTTATTAGTTTGTTGTATTTAGGTCTATATAAATAATAACTAAGTGACTTTTGTTGAATCATAATTAACGTTTGACATAAAATTCAATAATACTCTAATTACAAAAAAAACAGGATATGTGAAAAAAAGCAAAAAACCACAAAAAAAAAAGAACAGCAAAAAAACA